GTCCCTTCTCCCTACATGGTGACCATTTCCCATCATAATAAATAGCACTATCATGTTATTCTTTCTTCATCAGTCAATTCATTCAGAGAGTAACTCATTCCTCCTAATATGTGATAGATCTAGATTAATGGATTTCCCATTGCTGGTTTCTACTTGTAYTTTAAAAGCAAAATGCTTTAAGCAAAGGGCTGAGTATATAGTCAAGAACTCCAGACATCCCTCAGTTGATGGAAAAGTATTTTTGTTCTGATGCCTTTGCTTCCCTCTGCAGAACATGCTTACTCCCTGCCTCACTCCCTGACACATTAACTCTTAATTATCCTTTATGAATGTATGGGAACATCAAGTCCCCAGAAGAATTCTGACTTTCCAGAGCACATTGGCTGAACTTTGCGTGTTCTCCCTTGGCCCTCTGCCCTTCTCCTTCGTAACCTTTAAGTTTGTTGTGTTCCCTTTCTGGAAGTTGATCTTTGTCTCCTCTAAACTCTGTGAAAGGAAGGACTATGGGATCTTGTTCATCAGGTGTCCTAATGCTTAGCAGAATAGTGTTTGATACATGTTTTTGAATACCTAGATGGTAGGATGCATGAATTTATCCTCAGAGTAGATAATGAATACTCATTGACCCAGAGCGYTCTTTTAAATCTGATGTTAGATTTCAATAGCATTTAATGGGGCATATATTTTTGCAAGGTGCATAGGAGAAGGCTTTTTTTTAACAGTTTTATGAGGATCAATTTTCATGCCATAATATTTACCCATTTTAAGCACACAATTCCAGGATGTTTGTAAGTTTACAAAGCTGTGGAGAATCATACTTCAAGTTTAGAACATTTTAGTCATCCCAGAGAAATACCTCATGGTCATTTTATATCACTTCCAATTCAAACTAATCCACTTTCTATCCTTGTAGATCTTGGAGAAGCACTTCCATAGGCTACACATACATTATCAAGGACACAGATGGTAAGACTTTTTACCTTTGACAGAAAGAGTAGAAATACTTCCAAAGTACATGATGGAAGTAATACCATGCTGACAATGATCACAGTTATGTTGAAGTCACTGATTAAAATGATGTAAGGCATGACGGTCAAGACCTACAAGGAAAGTCCAAATGTATTACATCAAACACACTCAGCCCATAGACACTTAAGAAATCATTAAGGCATAAAGGCTCTTATCACATATATCAGAATTTCACCATATGCAAACATACTTACATGCCATCACTGTGTCCACTTTCAGAGGAAAAAAAGAGGAGGAGCTTTTGTTAATGAGAATATACATGATTTTTTAACTTCCCAACAGATAATTTTAATTTTATCTTTGTTAAATATGTATTAATTGTGCATATTAATGTGTTCATTGTGACTTTCTTTTTCTTTTCCATCTTTTTTATTGGTCCTAGGGATTGAACCCAGGACCCAGGTCTCACTCATGCTAAGTATGTGCTTTACTACTGAGCTATACCCKSAGCCCCAGTGGTATTTGAACATATGAATATGGCATGTACTGCCTAATCAAGGGAATCCCTTATGTTTGGAGCCTTTGAACTCCTCTCTTCTAGATATTCATAAAATACATAATAGATTGTTGTGAACTGTAGTCAACCTACTGAGCTGTGGAACACCATAAGTTATTCTGTTTTGGTCCCTGCTACCCAAACTGCCTTTATTTGCCTTCCCTTTTTTATCCTTTCCAACCTCCAGTAATCACTAATCTACATCCAAAGTAACTTTTTTTTAGATTCTACATATGAGAGAGAACATAATGGCATTTGTTTTTTTGTGTGTGTGTCTGGATAATTTCACTCAACATACTACCCTCCAAGTTCATTCATTTTGCTGCAAAAAAACAAAAATTAATTGTTTTGGTTTTTTTTTTTTGTTTTTTGGGGTTTTTTTTTTTTTGCATCAGGATTTGAACCCAGGGGTGCTTGAACACTGAACCACCCTCCCATCCCTTTTTATTTTGAGACACTCTCACTAATTTGCTTAGGGCCTTGCTAAGTTGCTCAGGCTGGCTTTAAACTTGATATCCTCCTGCCTGAAACTCTCCAGCTGCTGGGATTGTAGGCATTTGCCACCTCATCCACCTATAAAATAGTTTTGATTTGCATTCCCCTGATGGATGATGAGCTTTTCTCTCTCTTTCATTCCTTTTTCTTTCTTTCTTTCTTCCTTCCTTTCTTCCTTCCTTTCTGTCTTTGGATTTTTGTTGTCTATTTGTATGCTTCAGAGAAGTATATGTTCATATCATTCGTCCATTTTTTTTATTGGATTACTTGTCATTTTGTTGTGAAATTATTTGAGTTCCTTATATATTCTGGATATTAATCCAGAATTAATAAAAACATAAAAAAACAAATGAAGAAACTTCTGCACCACAAAGGGAACAATCAACAAAGCGAGAAGATGTTTATAGAATGGGAGAAAATATTTGCCAACTATTAGTCTCACAAGAAAATTTATAATAGATGAAGAGATTGAAGATTAAGGGAATATTTAAAATGACCAAATAGACTTCCTGACCCAGTATTCAATTCAACCCAAGATAACAGGATAAAAAGAGTAATGAGCTTTTTAAAGCTAAGGTAACAATAATAATATGTAAATCCTGTATAAATTGAAAGTTRCATGGGCAGTTATTTTAAAAATCCATCTTACCATTTTGCCTCTCATCTATCACAAAGCTTTGCAACTGTCCTGCCTAATACATTTCGTCCCAATTCCAAGAAAGTGCTTTTTCTGAGATTGTGCATTTTCATAGCAATAGACTCATTTTCTTTTAGAATACTGGTAAATGGGAGAAGAGGATAAAAATAACTTTTTATTTTTCTGTTTTGAGGGTCAATTTATCAGCCAACAAGTATGTATTAAGCATTAAAACTTCTGCTAGATCTAGTAATGTACGATTTGAATAAAAATTCTAATTTCTAGGTTCACTGAATATTACATAAATGCCAGGAATGAATAAAACCTGAATTACTTACTTTAATCCTTACAATAACTCTATAATGTACTGTTATCTTCTATTTATAAATGAGAAATCTAGGGTTCAGAGATGTTAGAGATGGTCAGACATAAGAGATGTTAGGATTCAAAACCACACAGCAAATATAAGATTGGAGTTCAAAACTCTAGTTGTAAATTTGTGAGTTTTAATGTCTTAGACTTAAACATAAGTTTTCATTTAGAAACAAGCGAGACTAGGATGAGTTTTTGTTTTAGTGTTGCCAGGAAGCCCCACATTGTGAAGTATCTATACACTCAATAGTGTATTTTATATTTCAGGACTTCTATTAAGTATTTCATGAACTCTCTTGAAAAGGTTGTAACTAAATTATTTAGGAACATCCCTAACTTGATACCATGAGTTACCTTTGTCCTCCTTTCGACRGTGCAGTTTTAAAGTGCAGGTTTAAGTACCCCTTATCTGAAATTCTTGGGACCAGAAATGTTTGGGTTTGGAGCATTTTGGATTTTGAGATTTAACTTCTATTGTTAAGACAAGTTACTTAAGACAAAGGTGACTATGTGGGATATTACACTGACAGTTCAGAAATAAATATATCTCTAGTATGTATGTATAATAATGTATGTGCACTTACAACATAGAAGCAAAATGACCAGAGGCCACTGTTTTTTCTCCTCTTACGAAAAATAAATGATACCACATATGTCAGGAAGATAAGAGAAGCTGAATAACCAAGTGATACAACAACCTGAAGAAATACAAAAAAATATCAGGATCAAAAAATGAAATATTATCTGAAGAAATAAAATCACATTACAAATATTTTAAAGATATTTTGTTGCACATGAACTTTGCAAGCATTTTTTTGGTTTATGGTAAAATAAAGATGAAATTACCATCATTATAGAAAACTTAATGTTAAAATTCATTATTAATTACCTTAAAAAATCTATGTAATATGTTACTTACCATAGCAAATATACCTTGACTTGTAACAGAAATGCCCATTTTGTTTGTTATGCAGATGATTAAATACATTAAAAGGAGAATTAAATTGAAGAGGTTAACATCCACCAGTGCCTGTCCACACCAGTAAGCAGAGGGGTAGAGGCCTGAAATCCACAGCTGAGAACTAGCTTTCTTCTGATGAGAGAACACAGAATATATATATAGGTTCAAGTAAAATGTAAATAAAAAAGAAATATATTGGAAGAATTTTTAAGATATATAATCTAACCTTCTAATTTTTAAAAAATAATATGTAGTGTATATAAATACATATAATTATTATGCTATATGTGTGTGTATAAATGTATGTGTGTTTACTATTTGCATACTGTGTGTTTATAGTTTACATATTAGTCAGGAAACTGAGGTCTACAGATACAGTTACATAAAAGTGGCCATTTTTAAAATGTGCTTTGTTTTATTTGGTAGGTTTTATTTTATTTATTTTCTATTCACTATTCAGATATTTTCTCAAAGCATTAAGCTCCGGGGCTGCGGATGTGGCTCAAGTGGTAGCATGCTCTCCTAGCACACATGAGGCACTGGGTTTGATTCTCAGCACCACGTAAAAATTTAAAAAAAAAGAAAATATTTGTGTCCACCTAAAATATATATATATATATATATATATATATATATATATATATATATATATATATAAAAGCATTAAGCTCCTTCCAAAGAAATGTTTTGTGACCGGTAGGACATAAATTTTCCTTTGTGTATTCATCTCTCCATAGAGTTACTGGCTCAAGATGATGAAAGCAGTCTTATCTAAAACTAACTTTCATGTTATGTCTGGATAATGAGCATAACTAAATATAAATATAACATAAAATTACATGTACAGAATGCAGAAGGAACCCAAGTTAAATTTGGTCTTCAATTTCAACATCAATGATTTCCTCCTGAATTAGGAAATAAGGTAGTCCAAAGATTTTTTTTTTTTTATAATATTGCTCTTTAAGGGTTTACACTGAGTCAAAAAAAAATATTGCACTTATGCTGTAAATTTGAAGTAAAAAGTATTTTGCATTTTTAAAAGTAAGTTTTTAACTTGCTAGAAATAATGAACAACAATATGATCTGAATTAAAATACAGTTAAGCGTTTTTCTCATGGGAAAACATTTTGAACACAGAGCATTAAAAAAAAACAATAACTTTAAATGCTTGCACTTCCCTACTTTCTCTTACTTTGTGATCAGTGACACTGCTCATGGCGATGTAAGGAGAAAGGCAGCACACAATAAAAAACATGAATGGAGCACCATCCGGCAACCCAGTCCAGTAGTACAGATGGTTCTGGAAGCAAAAACGTAATAGTAAATTTTTTCATGAAACATACACTATTAATCAAAGAATATGCTTTTTGAAATATTGAGAAGTCAAAATATAGTTCTAGTTTACAGTCATCCAAGGGGGGGAAGTGATTTCTTATTACTTGATGTGAGGCTTCAACTCTAAGAAAAAGACAAGTCAGAAATGATTTAGGTTTCACTTTTGGGTATACATCCAAAAGAACACAAAGCAGGGTTTTTAAGAGGTACATGCACACTACGTTGATAGCACCATTACTTCAATAGTCAAGAGATGGAACCATCCCAAATGTCTACCAGTGGATATATGGATAAATAAAACATGGTATATATACATACGATAAAACATTATTCAGCTCTAAAAAGGAAGAAAATCTGTCACATGCTGCAACATGAATGAACATGGAGGACATTATGCTATGTGAAATAAATCAGTCAAGAAGAGACAAATATTAAGGTATTTAAAGTAGTCAAATTCATAGAAATAGAAAGTAGAGTGATGGTTCCTCCCCAGGAGCAGGAGAGGAGATAGGAATAGGAACTGTTTGATGGATAGAGAGTTTTACTTTCACCAGACATAAAAGTTCTAGAACTTTATTTCACAACAATGTGAATGTATTTAATGCTAGTGATTTGTATGCTTTAAATGATTATTAT